AAGCTCTGTTATTGCTTAGAAAGCATTTCGGATAAGCTTCCCGAGAAGGACTCCATACAAAATGTCCAATTGGCGGAGTTGGTTGCCCAAGTCTGGGTAATTATTTGTAGAGAAACGGCTTGCGCGGACTGTGAAACAATATCTCGAACCATCAAGTGCACAAGACAACTACATATCTCCAAGGAATTCATTTCTTTTCTCTTCAAACATTTACCAAAGGAGCTTAGTAGGAACATCGAATCCATCAAATTGCTACTAGAGAACACACAAATGGACGTAGAAACTTGTCGAATGTTGCAAATGCGAATGGTGTCATTGCAAAATGAACAAATTGAAGACGTACAAATTTCTGTTCAAGAGTAAGTGTATATTCGATCACTCCAATTTTTGGCTAAAGGCTAAATCTTGTATGCAAGAGCAACCAACTCTTTCAAAGTCTTCATAGAGCTGACGGCCTCTTTTGACTGTTACAGCGAACTATTTCTTCAGGATATTTCTCGATTCACTCAATGGCTTCGTTTTCCCCTCGAAAACACCGACTTGTATGCATTCAAAGAAATTATACAATTTTGGTGCAACGGATTGTTACACTTCACAAACGGTAATGATATTCAACGTCTAGTTCTGCGTCTCATGAAATTGGGATTATTTTCCAAAATCGATGACTTCTTTCATACCATAGTCGACTATTACAAAAAAGGGTACACAGAAAAGGAACAAACACACCTTTCCGTACTCATTAGCAAATTATTTGTCAACTTGTTGCATACCTTTGACAAATGGACTGACGTCGAGACGAACGGTACTGAATATCTGGATGACATCAACAGTCTCCTACAAACTCTCCTAACCGCAGTAGACTCCTTTGCGATCTTTCCTCCTGAAACACTGTGCGAATTTTTGAATTGTCTTCATATTCTCGTCAACTTTTTCGATAGAATAGCAAATTCGGAAAGTATTCGTGCCACTTCTTCTGCAAGCCAATCGTTGGTGCGAAATATTATTTCCAAAAAGACTTGGTTCCAAGGCTCGATCCAAGAATATTTCGAGCTCCTATTGAGTCATCGATGCCAGGAAGACCATCCTAATGGAAACTGTTGCACATATCAACCTCACTGGGAGTCGCTGTTGTCTTTAATGATTACTCTCATTGCGTTTAGCTCCAAAAAAAATTTGCTGTTGTTGGAAATGTTTCCGAAAAGCTTGCTTCATTGGAGGAAAGTTCTATTTGGTTGCTATGGATTCCAACGGTATCAACGTCCCTTGTTGATCGTTCAGAGCAATCTGCTATTTGCCAGCGTTGCTCGAGCTAGAACATACCAGTGGGAGGAAGACGTATCAGAACAAGTGGAAAATGACTGCATATTTTACATTCTTGGTAATCAAATTTTTTCATCCCATGTTCTTATAGAAATATCTGCCTATCGTGCATTGGAAGCCTGGATACTTTCCTTGCGAGGTGTCAAACAACCCATCAACAGACCAACCACCATCGAGGCTGTGAAAAGCTGTCTTCGAATAAAACTCGTGCAAAATCACGATACGCCTCTTTTAGTCTTAGCTCCGAGAATGAGTCTTTTTGCACATTTTTTAGAATGGGTAGAGCATACTTGGGTTACAACAAGTCAATGGGAAAACATCTTGGAACTTGTGTATCAGCTGACGAAGAACGTAACAGTTAGCAATCGTATCCAGTGGGATTGTATTCAGCATATTGCCAAAAGTTTGGAGTATGCACCGCGTGACTGTTTGGAAAAGGTTCCGGATATTGTGCAAGCTATACGTGGCTTAGGAAACCTGACTAATTGTCAAGCTAACACTAACAGTTGTCCCATTCTTTTTGACGATCTAGTATTGACACCAGCTGTTTATCAGTGGCAACAAGACTCTTATATCAACACAAAGAATATGCAGTCAATGTTTGAACACCATAACATCAAACCAACAACGAATGAAGAATATGAACCACTGAAAACATGATTGGAAAATTCTTTTTTTATAATATAAAAGACAAATACACTATCTTAACAGAATCTAACCGGCATCAACACAACCAACCTCTAACGCCCACTGTCAATGCCATCCATTCTGTTTCCGAAAGTCGCGCCAAGCATCGAAATTTCTGCGAGGTTTCTTATTCGGACTCCATTGTCTTGGAGAGTAACGAAAATTGGCCTTTCGATTTCTATCCACCTCACGGAAATATCTAGAATGGTCACCCTGAGCACCAACTACGCTTCTTCCTTTGATATTTCTGATAATGTTAGAAGAAACGGCATTATCATCCCCAGTTTCGTTGTGGCTGCCATTTCGACGTTGATATGAACTTTCGTTGTTATGAGACCGATCTCGATTAAAGTTCCGTCGGATATTGGACGAAAAGGTACTATCCACTTCCATATCCTTCAACGATGCATTATAGACTCCTCTGTGAAAATGTCTATTAGAAAAATTGAACCCTCGAGCGTCAACGTTCATTGTAGGTTCTCTTTTCTTCAAAAATCTACCATCAGGTTCATCCTTACTATTTCCGATTGATATATTTTCAATAGAATCAACCACACTATCCTTATGTAACGAATCTGAAGTTCTGCTTCGTGAGAGAATATTCAAAGAGTTCATATCTGAGTTAGAATCATCTGCGAGAGTAATATTCAGTAAAGAAGATGATGTTGCTGCTGCGCCATATTCAACTTTATCATCCAAACTTGTTTTGACACCATAGGAAGACGCTGGCGATAATGAGAAACTTCCAACATCCATTAATACTTTTTTCTTAACAGGAGGTGACATCGACTTTTGAGACCTGTTTGCCATAAGTGAATATAGCTTATTGTCTTGTTGTTCAGTAGACAAGCTTTCACGAAACAATTTTAGAAGCTTCTCTTTCTTCCAAAAACCTTGGAAGCGAGTTACGGAATCAGAGCGACTGCCTGTCCATGAACTTGTCACGAAGCTTTGTGAAGAATCGACAGAAAACATCGTCGAGCCAACGATGGAAGGACCGGGTAAGTTAAGGAATGGCATGTTAGGATTTCCTTCCTCCCAAATCCTCTCCTCTACCTTGAAGTCATCCATTTCTCTTGAACTTGTCGAAAGACAGTCTCGAATCGATGCTGCTCGTAGACGTTCACTTTCATCCTCGTCTGCTTCCATCATTGATGAATATTTTTCATCACTATCCACAGAAGCGGTTCGATTCGAAGTCTTCTTAAACCTTGCCGAGAGATTATCGTCACTGTTTCCACAACTCAAAGACGTTCCACTAACATGTCCACTAGACTTGTGTTTTCTCTTTTCTTCTCGTTCTTCAAGTCTCTTAAACTGCAGTAAAATCTGTTGCATCTTTCTTTCCTCGCGCGATGAAGCCATCTTATCTCCAATTTCCAAATTGTCATTGAGAATACTTGTCCGTTTGCGCTTCTTCACTCTTTCCTGAGCTGGAATGGGCTTTGCCTTTGGTTCCATCAGTCGACTCTCCTCATTCTCCTCTTTCACACGACCTGCATCGCTGGCATCCTTCTCAGAAAGATCCTTCTCACACGCAGCCAATCTCTCTTCCACCTCACACCTGGCAAGTCCACAAATTACTTCTAGACCGGCAATAATACATTCTTTTTCCACCTCATTATTGTCCTTCATGTACTTGCAGTACTTTCTAAACAGCAACCCATCATCCCACACTTTAGAGGAAGTTTGATATTTCTTTTTTAAGTCTTTACAAAACAAACACTTGAGTTCTGAAGACTTGATAACTTCAGAGTCTTCAATCATACTTTCTAGACGCTCCAGCTCAGACCGACTTGTATGCACCTTTCTAGATCTTTTCATGTCCATATACTTCTTCCGATAAATGATAGAATTTTCACGGACTAGATCAGGGCGACATTCTTCACAAAAGTACTGTTCAGGTATTTCTGAAAGTTTGCGGAAACCAACACATTTGGCATGCTGCCACACCCTGCACTCATCACACTGAATCATAGTTCCAAAATTTTCTATTCTACCACAAGGACAACGAGTTTTTTCCTCGCTATCTTCTGAGTTGAGCTCTTCTTCTTCTTCGTCAACGGCTGGAGTGGACTTTGAATCCTCAACGCTCGCGCTCTTTTCCTTCAGTCCCACCTCTCTGCGAAAGGAATCATCTGAACCGCTTTCAGAGTCTTCAAAAGTCAAACAATGGGAGCTCAAACGAGAATCATTCAAAGCTGTAACCTTTAAACAGCTACTATCTTCACCACCCTCAGCCACAGCCGTTCCCGTTGACTTTGACTCTTCAGAAGTCACACCTTCGGGTTCATTTATGTCACCGACGTCATCATACGTGTTTATGAGGGTGTCTGTTTCTTTGCTACATACTTCGCAAGCTGTCGAAGTAAACTGCGTCCCGGCTATTCCTTCAACGCGAAAGCTTGGAAGCCGCTGCACGTCTTTTCCCATCTGCTTACTTATTTCAGGTTCGCTTGGTTGTTCCACGCTTACCTCTCGAACCTCCTCCTTACTTCCTCCACTTAGGGCCAAGTCCGCCAAAGAAGACGCTGCAACAAAAGCATCCTCCGTAAAATCCTCCAAGTTTGGTCCATTTGCCTTTACCTCCTCCAAACTCATACTCTTAGGCTCCTGGAAGTAGTGCAAACTCGCAAAAGCGAACGTGCTGGAAACTGCGCGTAAAAACTGTCGTTCGCTTCAACCGCACGCTCAACACAAAATTATACCATTAAATAGCCCTAGGTACATAGATATCGTCCTCCAATTGACTTTACAAGGCTCGTATCCACAAAAAGTCAAAACATGCGCGCTTCTCACGGTTGTAACCAACTAGGACAAAATACAAACTCGGTGGCAACAAATCCGCACCCTCCCATTCATTCCACCCTTGGTCAAGAACTGGTAGATGAGGGTGCGTTTTTGGGCTTTCTTTCCTCGACAACAGACAACTACTTTGGAAAGTGGCAAATTCTGAATATCTTATATGTAAAGACAAGACTGTAGGTTACACCAGAGCTCACAAAATCTTGTAGAATCGGTAGAAAATAAAAGATATCAACAAAGAAAATTTCAAGGCAAACCAACAATATCGTCAAATAAATTTATCCAAACAAAAAAATTATGAATAAAGCATCTTTACATGTTTCACAATTGGAACAATTTGCAATAAAAAACCTTGAAGGCTAATTGAATGGTAACACAGAAACGTCTCTGTCAACAGTCTAATCGTATCCATATCGAGAACATTCTTCAAGAAGTGATATTACAGGCATAGGTGGTTTCTTCTCCGATTCCACCTTGGGACGAGGCATCAATACATCATTTACAGAAAGTTTGCTATCATCGTCGAGTTTCTTTTTTTGAAAGATTCTAAAAAACTTTAGGCGAGATGAGGAGCTGTCTTGTGGTAAAGCATGAGAATTTCCATCAGGAACACTTTCCATCTGAAGTCGAGAAATCTGCTCTGCCAAAAGTTTCAAACTATCCAAGCGCCTTCCTCGTCTTTGCTCGCGTTTCGTTGAGCGCGCTCTTGTACATTCGTATTCAATAGTCTCTTTCAACATTTCTGGCGTCATATTGCGCTTATTGTTGTCCGACGAAGGCATATCACTCACATTAGAAATGTCCGAATAAAAAGAGCTTTGTTCAAAAGATTGTGAAAAGCTAGTATAATTCTTCATATTGCCATCCTTTGAGCAGAGAAGAATTACAAAAGGTTCTCTACCCTTCAAGCCTCTCTTATAAACATTTACACAAGTATTATCTCCTGTCAAAGTAACTTTCTCAATTTGATCCAACTCAAGGTGCCACTGAAGCTGCATACCACCACCTTCACTAATTTCGACTTCATTCACTCCAATTAAACGCTGAGTTGTGAGTAAAACCAAACAAGACTTGTAAGGAGAACTGCGGTAAGACAAGGGAACACTCAAGGCCCTAGAAAATAAGACTCCATCTGCACTCTTTGGTCTAGTAAAAGATTGGTTCAGGGCCTTGACGCCTCCCTGCAGCTGTTTACTACCCCAAAAACTGTTGTTAACTTCAGAACCACAAAAGCTGTCTCGGGAATCCTGACTATTCGACTCTTTTGCGGGAGAAGAACTCGAAAACCATCTTTTCTTCTTAACTTGGGGCGATGTCATTTCGTGACTCACCGAACTGCTTAAGAAGCAGGCTAACAGGTCAAAACTACAAATAAATCTCTCGTCGTTCCGAGGTCGCCATAGATCCTGCGTCGACGCAGGCAAAGATTTTCTTCGTCCACTTAAATATTCCTCGTGCGAAAGACTATGAACTGCATGGAAACTATCATCGCTTTCACGCTGGCTACCATCAGAAGATATTCCATCCAAGATGCTTGAGTCTTCGGTGCCAGACGAGCAACACTCAACAGAGCTTGTTTCGTTGTGGCTTCTGACAACCTGGACTTTTACATTTCCACTACTTCTCGACATACGCTTGCCAGAAACTGAACTTTGCGATAAACTACCACTAACCGTAGTTGACGCGGGCAGTAAAATTCGCTTATTCTCGGAATTGCACTTTGAGTATACTAAGTTCGAGGAAATATTTTGACAGCTGTTTACCCTTTCGCACTCGCGATTGTGAGGGAACGACGAACTTCCTTCTTCCGGAGGAAATCGAGAAGTGTTGTTGTACATGAAGCATTTAGACCAAAAGGTCTCTCAAAACTAGGTAACCGACCACTATGGTATTCAGCTCAAAAAACATACAACTCTAGGCAATGAAAGTAAACGTAAGTTACTACGAGACAAAAAGGTCGAATGTCCTTGAACACCACTTCACCAAAAATAGAAGTCAGTCACGCGCTGATTACGGGTTAAAGCGTAATTTATGTGAGCTGTGCAAAATTCGGCGATGGGGGAGTTGTTTTGAGGGGAGGGTTCGTAAATTTTATGCAGGTGCGGGCAATGTCTTGGATGATTTCTGGCTTTATTGGCAACGGATGTTGTGTACCAAAAGCTTTGTACCAACGTGGAAATACTTTTATTTGCAGCAATAAACGTTTTCATTTGAGTAATTACAATCGTCGTAAAGTGTCGACAATAAAGTGTCAGAAGGAAAACCGAGCACCAGATGTTTCGGGAGGTTGGAGAGTAGAAGAGGATGCTGACTATTCACTGGCCCGTATCTTTTCCGTTGGAGCTTGTGATTCGGGATATGCAGTGCTTTTACATCCCGTGTCGAATCCTTTTCGCTTTCTAGCTGTCTTTGTAGGTGAATTTGAGGCTCACGCTATTGCGGAGGCGTCATCCTCCTCGTTTTCTTCAAGACCCTTGACACACGATTTTATAAGCGTTACTTTAAAGTTGATAGGTTCCTTTATTTCAAAAGTAGCGATTACCCATTTGACCCAACGTGCCTTCTGTGCCCGTATCTGGGTATGGACTATGGCAGGATA